CAAGTTTCTTATTTGGAACCATGGAGACAGGATATAGACTTGCGCTCGAAGTTTTCCTAGACCCAAGTAAACAGGAAGGAAGAACAAAGAGGACAGGAAAATTGACTCACACAGATGAGCTACACACAAGAAAGAGTCAGCATTTGAGAGTACTGAGCGAAGGGTTCTGGTGAGAAGCCCTGCCTTTTGTACATCCCCACATCTTCTGATCTTAATTGGCTGGAGAGAAGTAGAAGCTCAAAGAAATTACTCCATGTCCTAAGGAGAATTCTTACTAGTCTGGACACTGGATGCAACTAACCTGCAATTGCTGGTCAGACAGAACTGTCACGAGATACATAAAAATATATCTCAAAAACAAAAGAGGGAATGAATCTGAAAAACGTAACGCAAGAAACACCAGAAAAATGTTGCCATAAACCAAAGGAAACCTTTGGCCAAACATGTTGCCTTAAATAAAAACATAATTAATGACCAATTGCATAAGTTGAACAGTGGCATGAAGCAGAGATACAAGTGCTTGGAGAAGAGATGATGAAACAACAACGTGAGATGAAACATACCATACCCAAGATAGATATGGGTATTTATTCTATGAAAAGAGAGATATTTCAAATCAATAGAAGAAATACAAATAGTTTAGTAAATAGTTTGGAATAACAGGGGAGCCATGTGGAAAGGAAAATTGGAATACTAGTTCACATTTTATGTCAGAATTAAAATTGGTTAAAAATAAAAATAAAATGTTCAAAGCTTCTGAAGAAAACAAGAGGAAATATTTTTAACCTTAGAGGTGGGAAGGCCCCTCAGAAATGTGACATGAAACTCAGGAGTCACAAAAGAGAAAGACAAATATGTTATTTATACAAAAAATTAAAAAGAAATTGTGTATGTCAAAAAACCTTAAAAATTCAAAACAAAACTAAATGGTGGAAAATACTAGCACTAAACTTTTCTTAATACTAAAGAGTACCAAAAAGAGAAAAATTAGCAGTCTTTTGGAAAAATGGCTAAAAGTTAGTAGATGTTTAAAGAAAAAGAAATATAACTCCTAGACATATTTAAACACTATTGACCTCATGATAAAAAATGTGAATTAAAACCATATGATGCAAGTTTTCACATAATCTATATAAAATTTAAGAATATTCATCACTGTTATGGAGGGTCTAAGGAAACAGGCAGTCCTACACAGCTGTTGGAAACGTATATTGCTATAATTTCTAAGGAGAGCATTTTGGCAATATCTATCAAAATATACAGAGAGATGCCCCTTAACCAACAATTCTAGTCTTAGTAGCATATCCTATAGATATACTTGTACATTGCAAAATGATTATGTGTAAGAACATCATAGATTTAAACTGAACCTTATCAATATTTGCTTTAAATGTAAATGGCAAATACCCTAATTAAATGGTAGGTAATTTGATTAGATAAAAATGCAAGATCTAATTCTGCTTCCTACAATAAATACACTTAATATATAAAGAGAGACATAGCTTAAACATGAAAGAATGAAAAATATATACCATGCTAACCCTAATTAAAAGACAAGTGTAAATGGCTACATTCACATCAGGCAAAGTAGATTTGGAGAAAAGAATATTACTAGGAAAGAAAAACAGTCATTTTATAAAGACAAAGGGACCAGTATCTCAAGGATATAACAGTCATAAATGTTTATTCCTCTAATAACAGAGTTTCAAAATATAGGAATCAAAACTAATACAATTGCAAGAAGACATAGAAAAATCCACACTTAAATTTGAATATTTTAACATTCTCCTTTCAATAATTGATAAAAAAATAAACAGAACAATTGAACAACACTATCACTGAATTGACCTGATTGACATTTATAGAATAATCCATCCAACAATAACAATGTACATTTTTCTTCAAGTGCCTTCACATTTGCTAAGTACATTCTGGGCCATAAAACACTTAGCAAATTTAAAGGTATGCAAATTATACAAAGTATGTTATATGATCACAGTTGAAATAAATAATGATAACACAGTAACACAGTAAATAATGACACAAAAACATAAAATACCTGGAAAATCCCAAATATTTGAAAGCTGTATACATAAACACTTTTAAGTAATGTGTTTGAAAGAAAAAATCAAAGCGAAATTCTTGTGAACTGGATGATACTGAAAATATGTAGAGGGAAATTCATATCATTAAAGGATTATATTAGAAGAGATGAAGTGTGAAAGAATGATTTCAGTTTCTGTTGTAGGAAACTAGAAAAAAAAGAGCAAACAACCTGAAACAAACAAAAGGAAAGAAGTAATTAATTATCAGATCCTAACAATTTCACCCACCAAATTTGTCTACTTTATTCTGACCCCACTTCTACTACCTTATTCATGATGTTGGTTATAGATGTCAGTAGATTACAGTGGATAAGAGTGTAGCCTGGACCACACACTGCCCTGGTTTGCTTAGGACTTGGGGGAGAGGATGGGGAGGCAGGGAGAAGAGAGGGGCAGCCAGTTCTTGGGGCTCAGAACTGGGAAGGTCTCAGACAAAACCGGCTGAGTTGTCCACCCTGGCGTAGGTTCTGGAGCCACACCTCAGACTTGAAGCCCTTTAATATTAGACAAGTAACTTATTCTCTTGTGCCTTCATTTCTTCCTCTGGGAAAATGAGTATTGTAATAGCCCCCATTCTCTCACTCTTGGTCTCACTCTCTTTGTTGTTCAATTCTAAGTAGCAGCTTTTTATCTCACTCTTTCCTTCTAGACAGACCCAGCTTCAGGCTTTCCTTCAAATGCAGCAGTTATCTTTCTAAACACAAATATAAACATATCAGTTTCCTGCTTAAAACACTTAAGTGGCTCCTTAGTACCCTAGGTCAAAGTCCAACTTTCATAATAAGTTTATAGAGCTCAGTGTTTACTCATTTTCGTAATTATTTTTTTCCATACTTCACTCACTGGTCTTTTTCTTCCCCAAGCCTTGTGTAGTCTAGCTTTTTGTTGTTATTGTTTTGTTTTATTTTGTTCCCCTGTGTGTTCTCACCAGAGCTTTTTCTCCTAAGCTCCTCTTGGCTTTCCAGACCTCTCCCCACACCCCATTGCTATCAAAACTAGGTTAGTTGGCCTTCTGTTTACCCCCACGGTACTGCGTGTTCTCTCTCAGGTGGTACTGGCTATACAGTATGTTACTATGGTTTTATATATATTAATGTATATAGTATATTATATATAGTGTATTATATGTATTGTATATAGTATATGTGTATAATATATGATATAACTTTTTCATCAGCTTTCTTTGTTCTCATAGTAGAGGAAATATATGCATAAGGTACAATAAAGTAAATTTTCCCAGATTTAGCATTTTCTTTCTTCCAGGGTTGCCCTGCTTTCCCTTTATTACAATTGGTTCTTAAAAACTTATCTCATGTTAAGCATCTAATATTTGAATATTTCTCTGACAGCCTCTGCCTTCCCTATCTAGTTCCCTTGAGTTGATCATTTCTTATTTACCATGTTAGTAATTTTACACCTTTTTATCATAGCACTGAGCACATTGCATTGAAATTGTTTTCCATTCTGTATGATGATAATGTCAAATCCTTATTTAGGATCTACGATAGGCACAGAACTCCAAATCCTTATTTAGGATCTACTGTGGGTAGTACACTCATGAGCAAACTGACAAAAATCCCTGTTCTTGTGATGCTAACAGTCCAAAGGAGAAATAAAATTGATGACATTCAATAAGTAAATATGACATTGAGAATTTGATAGTGCTGTGAAGGAGAAATATGTGATGTTATGAAAGCAGGATTTAACCTTGAGAAAGTGACTAAACTTACAATCAAAGATCAAGGAGTACTTAATTACATGAAAAGAGAAGGGAAGCACATACCAGGAAGAGAAAACTGGAAATAAAAAGGCCCTTGTGTCATGGGATCTAATAAAAGTCACAGAAAGAAAGCTGGGGTGGCTAGAGTAGCATTGTGGAGAGGTCTCTCTCACAGCAGTAGGAACTTGGAGGTGAGCTGCTGGAGGCACATAGGTCATTATGTTAGCCTAGGTAAAAGAGAGGATGGTAATTTGGACTAGGGTGACAAAGCTACAGACTGCGGCGGTGAGTTTGAGATATTTTTATGAAGAAATCTTGATAGGAACTAGTGATAAACTGGATCGTGGTTACTGTGAAACTGTAAGATTAAGAAGAAAGATGTACAAAGGACTATTTGTAAATTTTCAGTATTAAGAACTAAATGGATTATGTCCTCTTTACTGTTGTATCATTCAGTGCCTTATTAGCACATGGCATCCTCAAATGAATATTTGTTGCAAATGAATGCATATTGTTTTAGTAATGAAAAAATCATATTCAACTGCAATATAAATTATGTCAGTAGAAAATGGATTATTAAGTGGAATTTAACCTAATAATTTATTCTTTACATTGAAATTTGAACATCCATAAAATGCGACTTAGACTATAGTTTATCTTCATAACAGTCTTAAAATAAAATTTGAATGTAACAAGCTAGTACAGCCATTTAGTAAGAGAAATGATGATAAAACAATTCCAAATTTTGTAGCACCCTTGATATTTTTCTTCATATTAAAGTAGTCCCCAAAGTTTGTTTTTCTTCCTTGAAACACATTTTATCTTTGTTATAAACAGTTCAAGCTTTTTTATTGATGATTCAAAAAATCAAGAAGGGATATTGAAATCTAGTTTCTTAAGTTACTACTGCTCTTCTTAATTATGTTGAATTACTAATACACACACACAAGCACTCTCACTTTATTATGGAAAAAGTTATTAGAAATGTGAACTATTTAGGACCAGTATTCATTCTCCTTAAAGTGATTAATTAAAACTTGTACAGTATTTTTGTTCTAAAATGTTAAATTTATTTCTTTTTAAAAAGTGTTTATAACCTGCAATACTGTTTGAATAATAAATCCTAACATTGTAGGCTGTAAAATTCAGAATGCTCTTGTGGTTGTGTTTTACAGATGTGTTCTGCTCCCTCTTTTGGGAATGAAGCCTCCCCAGCAAAGCCTGTATCTGCTGGTCGATTCTATTGATGAAGGCTGTAACATCGCCGAAGGAGAGCAAACATCCACCAGCTTAGCCGGGACAGTTGCCGAGCTTTTAGCTGGTCACCATGAGTTCTTCCCACCATGGCTATTGCTGTTCTGTTCTGCCCGGAAGCAGAGTAAGGCTGTTACTAAAATGTTTACCGGTAAGCATAATTCCTGCCGTCCTCAAATGTTTTCCTTTGATGAACCATCATATGTGTTACTTTCTTAAGAGGAGAATGCGCAGCCGGAAATCCGCTTGCTGCTTCTGCTCTTCTGTCATCTGTTCTACCTGTTCTGTCTGCTGTTCTCAGCCATACCATTTTAATGTTATATTAAAAACAAGCTTATATTAAAAACAAGTAAAATGACTTAAGAGTATTTACTATTACTTTTCTTACTAGATCCTTTTCCTGCTTCGTTAGTAAAGATTAGGAGTATTCCGTGCCATGTTAGCTGCTAGATATATCTGTAGAGCTGCATTTATTATGCTGTTGTGTCATGTTCAGTTTACAGTATTTCTTCCAACTAGACTAAGCATTCTGAGAATAGTGAATATGCCTTTTTAAAAATCACTGGTAGTTACTCTGAGATGTTTTTCTTGGTATAAGAGGAGAAACAGAGTCAACAGCCTTTTAGGATACCTCTGGAAGTATGTTCTTTTTTAAACCCCTTCCTGAGAAGATCATCTATATAATACATAAAATTAAATGATTAGTGTTTTTTCTTCTTTTGCTTTTGTTTTCTGACTCTACATTCTACTTTTCATTTTTTTACTACCACAATAAAGTTGTGGTTACTTGTCTTAGATCATGTAAAACACTCTTTCTTTGTGCTGTAGGAAATGAAAGGAGTGTAAAACAAAGACCACTCACAGTATTTATAGTGTAATTTGGAGAGATAATAATTAAGTTATTGGTTAACTAGCCATGTCACTTTTAAATAATTTTATGTATTTTGCAGAATAGTGATACTTTATTAATTTGTTAAAAGATTTCCTGTAATTCACTTTATTCTCACTATCAGGTTGTCTCTTTTAGATTCCCTTGCTACTAATGCAGCACTTTGGTTTCCATCACAGTATGCTATTTTGTTGTTAGTGATAAAAATCTTGTTGATAGAAGTTTGCAGATTAAACTGGTAAGAGCTGATACTTATGTAGGACTTACTATGTCAGGCACAGATAAAAGCTGAAACCCCTTTTGGTCAGTGTCATCCCCATCAGTAGTATCATTATTTTATATCCTTTCAACTCATATTTATATTTTGTGTATTTTTTATAGTTTGCATAAATGAAACACTGTATGTACCATCTTAGCTCTCACCATTCACTGGCCATGTGACCTGATACAGATTACTTAACTATCTGTGCCTCAGTGTCCTGACCTATGAAATGGAGATTGTACTTTCCTATTACTTTCCTCATAGGATTTTGTGAGGTTAAGTGACAAATTCATTTTTCAGGCTTTTCTTGTAAAATTGTTTTAAAGTGACTTGGTAGCAATGTATTAAATTTTGTATTTTTATAATAACGGAATTACATGTACAGTGATTAGAAGTTGCAATTTTTTAAAAACGGTTAATTTCAGTAGCTTTGAAGATACTCAAATTGTTGATTAACAGGTATTCTTAGTTCTGTCTTAATGAATAATAGAAAGCTATCCTTAATGACATAATTGCTCTATCTAAATTTATAATACTAAGCATTTCAATTTGGGAGAGCTTTATTTTTTAAATTGTAGACTGTATCTGTTCTTTATAAAACTTTCCCTACTTGCTTTTAGAATTAATCCTGTGTCCATACCTTCTACCCCAACTTCTCCCACCAAACACTTGCATTTTATTTCACAACTTTCTGCACATATTCCCATCTTGAAATGAAAAGAGCAAACTTCGTAGTCATCCAGGATCCTGGATCTATAATTTGCTTGCTGTGTTACTTTGGGCAGTTTACCCAACCTTCCTGAATTTTAGCATCTTCATTTTCAAAGTGGGGCAAGTTACCTCACAGACTTGACGTAAGAAGAAGTTAGGTTTGTATAGTACTTAATGTGCTGCTTTAGAGGTGGGGAGCTCTCAGTGAATATTGATCGCTGTCATTTCCTTCACTAGAACGGAACCTGTTATGTGAAGGTTAGGTTTGGCCTAGATTCTGGATTAATTATCTCAAGTTTCAACTGTGATATCTTAGTTAAGTAGGTTTAAATTATAGATTTATTTATTACAGTAGGTAATATGCTCTTTCGTGTAAATCAGTTACAAGATCACACTGTATAATATAAAATAATATTTCTAAAAATGTTTTTTATTAGCAACAGTCCAAGTACTTTCCATCTTAAATTGTTTTAGTAAATTTATAAAGCCAAAAGCAAATGAATGCACAGAAGAAGGTTTGAAGGTATTATCTCATATCACTGGTAAATGTAGATTGTTATAAATTTCTGAGCATGCATTAAACTCTCCTGAAATCAGGACTTTTTTCATGATTAGAATTTATCTTTCAAAATGAACTCTGTTGAGGATAATTATTATGTATAATCAATTAGCAATCATATGTATATATATATATATATAATTACAGATTGCATCATACATGTCTGTGATATGATTACTGATTATATTTTTATATAGATTTAGAGTTACACAAATTTGTTATTTCTTCATGTGTCTTTTTTGGTAAGTTGTGTTTTCCAATAAATTTTTCCATTTCATTTACTTAAGTACTTTGCAGTATCATAAAACTAAATTTATCAACTTTTTCTCCAAACCTATTATTCATCCTTCAGTGATCTCTTTTTGCAACCTGTTGGCCTAGCCAGAAATTAATAACAATTTTGGCTCCTCCTCCTCTTTCCTTCTCCACATTAACTAATGTAATCTACTTCTTATTAAGAATTCCCAAACCATCTTTTACTTTCATCTTCACTGCTGTAGTTGAGACTCTTAGTGATTCATATCTAGACTGTTACAGCCTTTTTAGAAAATTTTACTTTGGTATTGACTCACTCCAGCACTTCCTCTTTAGGGATGGTAAAATGATCTTTCAAATGCAAACCTGGTCACATTATTGCCTTGTCCAAAATTTCTCACTGAATTCCCATCACAAAATAAGTTTCATCTCCTCACATAGTACCTAACATATAGTAGGAGATATATATATATTTGTTCTATTCAGTTGAGTAAAAGAGTATTTTACTCAGTATTAATTGACCATCACTAATCTTTTCTGAATTTTTGGATTTTTATTCCTTAAGAGATTCATTCACTTAGCTATTTTTCCTTCTGTAAGATGAATACACAGTTTTCTAGTAAATTCATGTCTATAAATCAGCATATATTCTCCTTTCAGAAAATGAAATTATTGTTCCCTTTAAAGAACATTGTTTCCAGCAGATGTAACTAATATATTTTTAGGTTTGAATTTTATTAAGTTGCTTATTTTTACAATGCTGAACTTCTGTTTGTATAATTTGATTTAAGTTTCATCTTAAGGTCAAGCTATTTATTGACAGTGTGAGGTGTAATTATTTAATTTGATGACATGTAAAATAATGTAGTGTAAAGGCAATGATGGATGATATTCTGATTGGATGTAAATATTCAATCTCATGATTATGACTAGTGTACATTCAGGTATGTGGATGGAAATATATCATTTTTTTGTATGAAAAAGGTCAGCTTGTAAAAACAAACAAACCTTATTTTTTGTATCTCCTACAACTTTTTTTCCTAGTCATTTGGGAATTCAGAAAATCCTAATAAGGTGCCTTCATAGATATGTATGTAAGACTGTTCTAATGCTTAGTTTAGTATCTTTTATCATTGAAGTTGAGGAACACTAAGCCATTAAAAAAATAAGAAATAATTTCATTTGTAGATAGGAAAATAAAATTGTTTATCTGTCATCAGTGTGTTTTTCAGAAGGAAAAGAAAACCTTTATATACTAAGTATTATTTAGTATTTTATCAGTATTGATTTATTATTGATTTATGTGCCTATTAGTTTATTATATATTAAAGACATTCTCTTTGAATATATGGCAGCTTCCATAGTCTTTTCAACTGATGACATATACTTTTTTGTCTCTCTTCTAGGTTTTCGAAAAATAAGTTTAGATGACCTTCGGAAGGCATATATTGTTAAGGATGTTCAACAGTACATTCTTCATCGTTTAGATCAAGAAGAAGCTTTGCGACAACACCTCACAAAAGAGACTGCAGAAATGTTAAATCAACTGCACATTAAGAGCAGTGGATGCTTTCTTTATCTAGAACGAGTTCTAGATGGAGTTGTAGAAAATTTTATTATGTTAAGAGAGATTCGTGACATTCCTGGAACTCTAAATGGTCTATATCTCTGGCTGTGTCAAAGACTTTTTGTAAGAAAACAGTTTGCAAAGGTTCAACCCATTTTGAATGTGATTCTTGCAGCCTGCCGACCTTTGACCATAACAGAATTATATCATGCAGTATGGACCAAAAATATGTCATTAACCTTGGAAGACTTTCAACGCAAGCTAGATGTCCTCTCTAAACTTCTTGTTGATGGACTGGGAAATACTAAAATACTGTTTCACTATAGTTTTGCAGAGTGGCTTCTGGACGTGAAACACTGCACTCAGAAATATTTATGTAATGCTGCAGAAGGACACAGAATGTTGGCTATGAGTTATACCTGTCAAGCCAAGAATTTAACACCATTGGAAGCACAAGAATTTGCATTGCATTTAATTAATTCAAACTTGCAGTTAGAGACAGCTGAGTTAGCTCTGTGGATGATATGGAATGGTACACCTGTCAGAGACTCCCTGTCTACTTTAATACCCAAGGAACAAGAAGTGCTACAGCTGTTAGTTAAAGCTGGTGCTCATGTCAACAGTGAAGATGATCGCACATCTTGCATAGTCCGACAAGCTCTAGAAAGAGAGGATTCCATTCGGACATTATTAGATAATGGAGCATCAGTGAATCAGTGTGATTCAAATGGGAGAACATTGTTGGCTAATGCTGCATACAGTGGCAATCTTGATGTAGTGAATTTACTTGTCTCTAGGGGAGCAGATTTAGAGATAGAAGATGCTCATGGGCATACACCACTTACCCTAGCTGCTAGACAAGGACATACCAAGGTGGTTAATTGTCTGATTGGGTGTGGAGCAAATATTAATCATACTGACCAAGATGGTTGGACAGCCCTGAGATCTGCTGCTTGGGGTGGCCATACTGAAGTAGTTTCCGCACTCCTTTATGCTGGTGTCAAAGTGGACTGTGCAGATGCTGATAGCCGCACAGCTTTGAGAGCAGCAGCATGGGGAGGACATGAGGATATTGTACTGAATTTGCTACAACATGGTGCTGAAGTCAACAAAGCTGATAATGAAGGCAGAACTGCGTTGATAGCCGCAGCATACATGGGACACAGAGAAATTGTGGAACACCTACTGGACCATGGAGCAGAAGTGAACCATGAGGATGTTGATGGCAGGACTGCACTCTCAGTAGCTGCACTTTGTGTGCCTGCCAGTAAAGGGCATGCATCGGTTGTTAGCCTTTTAATTGATCGAGGCGCTGAAGTAGATCATTGTGATAAAGATGGCATGACTCCTCTGCTGGTAGCTGCCTATGAAGGACATGTTGACGTGGTTGACTTGCTGCTAGAAGGCGGAGCAGATGTAGACCACACGGATAACAACGGTCGCACACCCCTCTTAGCAGCAGCGTCTATGGGCCATGCTTCTGTTGTAAACACACTTTTGTTCTGGGGTGCAGCTGTGGATAGCATTGATAGTGAAGGTAGGACAGTGCTCAGCATAGCTTCAGCCCAAGGAAATGTTGAGGTGGTACGTACTCTGCTGGATAGAGGGTTGGATGAAAATCACAGAGATGATGCTGGGTGGACACCTTTGCACATGGCAGCTTTTGAAGGTCACAGATTAATCTGTGAAGCACTTATTGAACAAGGTGCTAGAACAAATGAGATTGATAATGATGGACGAATACCTTTCATATTAGCTTCACAAGAAGGTCATTATGATTGTGTTCAAATATTATTGGAAAATAAATCCAACATTGATCAAAGAGCTTATGATGGAAGAAATGCACTACGAGTTGCTGCATTAGAAGGACACAGGGACATTGTTGAACTACTTTTTAGTCATGGAGCTGATGTTAACTACAAAGATGCTGATGGTAGGCCTACACTTTATATTTTGGCCTTAGAAAACCAACTAACAATGGCCGAGTATTTTTTAGAAAATGGTGCAAATGTAGAAGCCAGTGATGCTGAAGGAAGGACAGCACTTCATGTTTCCTGCTGGCAAGGCCATTTGGAAATGGTGCAGGTTCTGATTACCTACCATGCTGACATCAATGCTGCAGACAATGAGAAGCGATCTGCTTTGCAGTCTGCAGCTTGGCAGGGCCATGTAAAAGTTGTTCAGCTTCTGATCGAGCATGGTGCCATAGTTGACCATACATGTAATCAAGGTGCAACTGCACTCTGTATTGCAGCCCAGGAAGGGCACATTGATGTGGTCCAGGTTTTATTAGAGCATAGTGCTGATCCAAACCATGCTGATCAATTTGGACGCACTGCTATGCGTGTTGCCGCTAAAAACGGACATTCTCAAATAATTAAATTATTAGAAAAGTATGGTGCATCTAGTTTGAATGGCTGTTCCCCATCACCTGTTCACACAATGGAGCAAAAACCACTACAATCAATGTCTTCAAAAGTGCAGTCATTAACAATTAAATCAAATAGCTCTGGCAGCACTGGTGGAGGAGATACACAGCCTTCATTGCGTGGTTTACCTAACGGTCCAGCTCACGCATTTAGTTCTCCTTCAGAATCTCCAGATTCCACAGTTGATCGTCAGAAATCATCATTGTCAAATAATTCCCTGAAAAGTTCAAAAAATTCATCTTTGAGAACTACTTCGTCTACAGCCACAGCTCAAACAGTGCCAATGGATAGCTTTCAAAATTTGTCCTTTACAGAACAAATTCAGCAGCATTCATTGCCACGCAGCAGAAGCCGACAGTCCATTGTTTCCCCATCTTCCACAACACAGTCCTTGGGACAGAGCCATAATTCACCAAGTAGTGAGTTTGAGTGGAGTCAAGTAAAGCCTAGTTTGAAGTCAACGAAAACAAATAAAGGGGGGAAATCAGAAAATTCCAGCAAATCTGGGTCAGCTGGGAAAAAAGCTAAACAAAATAATTCTTCACAGCCAAAGGTTTTGGAATATGAAATGACTCAGTTTGATAAAAGAGGGCCTCCAGCCAAATCTGGGACTAGTGTACCACCTAAACAAATGTCAGCAGAACCTCACTGCAAAATCATACCTTCAACTCAGCAAGAAATCGGTCGATCTCAACAGCAATTTCTTATTCACCAACAGACTGGGGAACAAAAGAAGAGAAATGGAATAATGACAAATCCAAATTATCATCTGCAGAGCAACCAGGTTTTTCTTAGTAGGGTTTCTGTTCCACGAACAATGCAAGACCGAGGGCATCAAGAAGTATTAGAAGGATATCCTTCCTCAGAGACGGAATTGAGCCTTAAACAAGCTCTGAAGCTTCAGATTGAAGGTTCTGACCCTAGCTTCAATTATAAAAAGGAAACTCCATTATAAAAGGTAATATTTCATTAACATAAAGACTAAAATATCAAAAGTATGGTCCCTTCTACTTAGGATACTCTTTCCCTGATACTTACTTGGCTAATTCCCTTACCTAATCACCATTCAAATGCCATCTTCTCAGCAAGACCTTCTATTACCACTCTTGAATTTGAATTTTCCCACTCCAGCACTAGCTTTTCCAAGTCTTTCCTGCTTTTTGTAATCCAAAGTATCTATTATTTAACATACCTGAATACATACAGAATAAAAACATGTTTATCATTACATTTTATTTATCATTACGTTTAATATTATTTGTCTCTTCCCAAAAAAATATAAGCTTTGTTGAGGGCAGGGGATTTTATCCGTTTTGATTACCACTGTCTTGCATGTAGTTGGAATACCACTAGACCTATATTAGTTTCTCAGCAAGAAATTTTGAGTCAGTAGATGGAAGAATGTACTATTTATGGATCTTAGATCAAGAGTTCCTTCTATATGGTCATTTCCACTCTTAAAAGTTCTTTGGTGGTAACAGAGGGAGAGGCTATTTCTGTATCACTCTTGGATTTGAATGAAATAGTGTATGTAGTTCTTAGTAAATGGTAAATATTAATTTCCTTCCTTTCACCCTGGAAGAAGTCAAAGATTTAATCAGCAAAAGATAATGTTTATTATAACAGATCTCTTAAAAATCTTCCAAGTAAAGTTTGCACACACTGAAAATAGGTATAGAAAGATGAGAAATGGATGATTTGGCAAGAGGGTATTTAGGGCCCAGTATACTTAGACATAAGAATTAAGTGCTTCAACCTCTAAGGCATATTTATTAAATAAACACATTTTTCTCTTTTCCCCCACAATGGATGCTTTACTAATTATAAGTGGGAAAAAATGATATTTAATTTTATAGTATGGTTACATTTTCAGAAGCACACATCTCATATTGGAGACAAACCTGAAGATTACATTGAGTTTTTGCTAATTTATACTACAAGTATACTTATCCCACTTTGCTTATTCATCCATCCTTTTTCATTCTCTAATAAAATTGCACTCTTTTATTTAATGAACTGAAATATCTTGCTTTTGCTTTTTTTTTTCTCTTTGGAGATATATATTAGAGTAATTGTAGGTGAAACATTATTATAAATAACCCTCTAAGAATAAACACCCTTAAATGTGAATCTGTGAATGACTGGTCAAATCTCCTTCAGAAATAATTTGAATAAAGTAGTTAATTCATTCTCCGGTATGATTTGTTTTAAAAATAATTAGTTTTGATGGCACAACCCTCCAACTTTTGATGTATAATAATGAATCTCTAATGGATAAGTCTACTTTGTGCTTTGCAGAGTAAATATATTCTGTAGGATTATAATACTATAGTTATTAGTAAGTATAATGTAGACATTAATTCTTTTTTTAACTTTTGTATTAGTTTCCTATTCTGTGAAACAGAAGACATTGTGATTGGAGTTGTTCTTCAGCTACTGGATGAAAACATAATATGCCTGTTGATTTGCTGAAAAAAAAATGAAGAATGTGATATCTACAGTACAGTTACCTTAATTACTGTAATGTGCCTAAATAGTAAGGCTGCCTTCTCAATGTAACCTTCTGTGCTTAAAATTTTCATTTCATGTGCTTTGTATTCACTACAAAAGAATAAGCACTTTTAAAAAAAATGCAATTATATACTGCAGTTCCCTGATAAAAACTGAAAAGAATTTAAAGTGTTTTAAGTTAAGATTTGATAAATATGCATGTGCCATGATCAAGTATATAAGAAAGGCAGTGTTCCTTGTATTTATTTTTTTCTTTTTTGTGGCAAATGAAACTTAAGCATCTGTTTCAGTCACATTTGCATTGTTGTAGTGTATGGCTTGTTTCTTGTATCTTTAAAAATGTTGCTCAATAAAATAAATAATGCAACTATTTCATGTTCACTACACCTTCAGCATTGGTTAAAAATGAGTTTCTAATTAATGCCACATTGAGGTAAAAGGTTTCTTGACAGATTTTTAAAAAGTAAATAATTTTAGTATTTTAGGCAGCTGCTCTAAGTAGTTTAAAGTTGGATTTCCTATCAGAATCCTAATCTCTGACTAAAGGTGTAAAAAAAAAAAAAGGCAGCAGCAGCCCAGACTATAGGCAGAACAAAGTTCTGTTTCATTGACTGGGATGCAGTTTCATCTTCCACTCCTTTATCGTTCCACCTCCAAGAAGACAGACTATCATTCCTGAGGCATGAAAATTCTCAGGGACAAGCCATGCCTCACTGGCATGTGTAAGTAGAGGAAAATGCATCTATCTGAGGGTAGATTGTTTATCCCTGAACAATTAATTGACTATGCTTATCTCATTCACCCAGTTAAATAAAATGTAATTTACCAGTGGAAATGTTAATGCTGGCTTCTCTTTCAGTTGCTTTGATTCTGTAAATCACTGCATCACCAAATTAGCCCCCACTCAAAATTAATTGTATCAGTTTTAATGGATGAATATTCTTGGTGAATGTAATATGTGCTGTCCTTCACAGATGATGCCACTAACCTGTCAGTCATAGCACATGTGTATTTTTTAATTGGTATTTGATAAAGAATAGTGATGGATTTTCACTTTTCTGTCCACATACTCTTTCCTGTTTTCTTCTTTGGATAGTAGATCACATGACTGGATGCCAGGGTTAAGGGTGAAGCCTTTGACTAAGGAAAGCAAAGCTGACTGACTCAAATGACCCACAGCCTTGGTCTGAATAGATCCTAAACAAGTGGAGTTAGTTTAGATGGTCTGTGTGGATGTCAGGTAAGATTAAAATTTAATGTTCAGGATCCAAGGCTGTGGGTTTGATCTTTGAATAGCCCTGAGAATGTTACAAAACCCAGAAATTCTATTCTTTCCATGTGTCGTTGATAAAAGGAGGAATGAGGAAAGAGAATTTGGAGATTCAGCACAAAACCATTGCTACTGCCAAAAAAAATCTTTAGCAACTGTCTTAGTAACAGAGGTCAATAATGTCATCGTCATATATGAAGGACATATATATATGATGCATTAATCACAGAACTAGAAGTGTGTGATTGGATGTGATAAATGTACCACTTGAGTTTCCATGTAAGACTTTATTTTTGCTTTTGTTTTTTAAAGTCAGCAAAATACATTTTTTTTTTGTCATCAATAAGTCACAATCAGGAATAGGAGATAAGTTAATAAGTTCAATTGATATTAAGGTGACATGGCAATACTGATAACTCTAATGTGAATGTTTCAAGTACTGAATTTTTGTCCCTATGGGACATTTATTAAATACACTTAATGGAACTCTTGCAATGTAGCCTTAAAAGTATTAATGATTCTATTAATAAATATGAACACATACTATCATTAGAACCGATGTTACTCATATCTCAAATACAGTACATTTACATTACTGTAGAAGATGAAGCTCTAATTTCTTACTAGGTGTATTTTTCTTTAGAAAGAACTCTGAAAGCCTCCAGTTTTTCTATTGACCTTGAATTATTGGAATTGTATTTATTTAATTTTATTGTTTTTTACAAAAACGCACCTTGTGGCCAAAGGGCAAAGATAATGACTCATTACATAGGGGATTTATGTTTTTCAAAGAGCTAAATGTTTTCATATCCACATTATATACACTTGAAACAGTAGGAAGAGAACTTGTGAGAAAAATATTATTTTCAAAATAAGCATTCCCTTGGATGCTTTTATATTATGTTTTGGAGTAGGACAAAAATGGCTTTTAGTTAGGATAAGGATGGTTAGAGTGCTGGAGATGCCCTGCTTTGACTTTGTGTGGAGGATTTAATACCATGAGTGAAAATGGCTTTTGCTCCATTAAAAAAGTAAAAAAGTCTCCCAAATATAAAACTCCTAGATAGCTATTTTAAAAACTCAAATGTTTAAATTTTATAAATCAGCTAATGCCACAACATACCTATGATGTCATGTGCTCATAACACTTTTATAACATTCCATCTGTGCCCATTCCCTAAAAGTCATGAGTTGATAAGAAGGGAAATGATAGAAAATACAGTCATGAAAAACAAAAATCTGAATGTAAGAAAGGTTTTAGAAGGAAAACTTACCAGAACTCAGTGAGTACTGCAGAGGATAGCCAGTATCTTTTGTCCCTCACCCTCATCCCCATCCCTACTGGAATCCTCACCAAAAACAGTTCACTACTTGAAAAACAGTCAATACTTTTCTCAATATTGTTTGGCTATTCAGATATTTGTTTTGCTTTTTAATTTCCTCCATTTATACTTCTCAGCAAATGTAGCTGCAGACAAATACTTTCTTTTTATTTTTCCCTTGGTTTGGGGTGTGTAAATAGCCTAAAATGTACATTGAATTTCACATTGTAAAAGTTTTATTTTATTCCTTGTATTATATTAAGCAAAAATCCCTATGTATATGAAAGTGCATAATAAATATATTTGCTTTACAGAGGAGATCTTGTTTTAATTTTATCCTTGAACCAATAGAAAATGAATGATGTGTACAGTAAAAACAGCTGTTAGTTTTAGATTACTTATTTAAATACTGAGAAGGTGAATTTGGAAACATTTTACAAAGAGATACAAAAACTTCACAAAGGAAGGTAGACAAAAAGATCTAGTCTTTAATATCTTCCTCAAGCTTCTATAAAGATTTAATGTTCTTTTTTTCTGATAGCATACTATAATATCTTACCATGTCATTTTCTAAATAAATTTCTTTGTATTCTTTACTCAACTTGAGTCACTTCTTCATGAACTTCTGCTTTCCCAACCAGAAAGCAACATATGTATATGTGTGTGTATTCTATTATGTTCAAAGAGGTTTCTAAAAAGGCCAGCAAGGTATTTTCTTCCTGTTAGGTGATTTTTTTTTAATAATGACAGGGTTCAGTAATTACCTTATATTCTTTACAAATTTATTGCACTAATAGAAATACCAAATATTAATGTTTCAACAATAACTGTTTAATAACAGTGTTTTAACACAAATGGGTGATATACATAGGAGAATTTTAAACAGACTGGTTCACTAAATAAACATGGAGATTGCTAGATGGTGGCCCAAAGAAATATACTGTGAGAACTTGACAATAACTAATGGTTTTCACTTCTCTGCCCCAGCAGTTGAAAGGGTTCCAATAGATACACGCTGAAGGCTTAGATTCCTGAATTTCTGGGAAAACTTCATGTAAATATATATATGCATATTATTTTCAGATAGGGTCTCTGCCTGTCATGCTACTATAGGATAGTAAAATATTCAATATTAAAATGTCATTTTCACTGCATGTTTAGATTTCTGCTCTTAAATACACACTGTCATTACTACACTGACAAAATTTAGCTAAGTTCTGAGAACCATATTCTTAGAATATATTTGTAATGTTTAGCAGAAGCCCCATATACATGTGTACTTACAGCTTTTTCTTACTCTTGGTCTGCATGTGAGAACTGATACAAAGGTATGTTCCCAAAAGAACTGATGTTACATTTTTAATGAATGTCTTTTACATCCCTTTTTGTCTGTGAACTTACATTGAACTATAACATTCAGGCAAATATAGAAATCCTGTTACTGTCCTATAAATTTTTACAAATTGGACATACCTTTTAATCGTCACCCTGATCAAGATGTAGGCCATAACCACACTCCCAGAAACCTCCCTTTCCATTTCCCAGACATTACCCCCAACAAAAAAAAACACTATTCTTCCATCACCATAGACTAATACTATTATTTTGAACTTCATATAAATAGGATCAAACCATATGTCCTTTTTGTGCTGGTTTCTCTACCTAAACATTGTTTGTGAAATATATCTACACTGTATAACAGCGGTTTGTCCTTTTTCATTGCAGTATCGTATTGTTTTGTTGGCCATTTTTTTTAATTGCTATATTCCATTGTTTGAAAATATCGTATTTTAAAAATCCATTTTACTACCTGTGGGTATTTGGATTATTTCCAATTTTTGTCTCAAGAATACTGCAGGCAATAACATTTTTGTACATATCTTCAGTTTCTATATGTAGGCATTTCTTTTTAATATGAGTGAAATTACTGGATCTTAGGGCATGTGTATGATTAGCTTTAACAGATATGTGTCAGTCTTCCCATTAGCTTTAACAGATATGTGTCAGTCTTCCCACTGGTTGTCTCAACTTCTATTCAGAGCTGTGTACAAGACTCTCTTACTGCTTTACATCTTTGCCAAGGCTTGGTGTTGTTTAATTTTCTTCTTCCTTCTTTTCTGTTTGTTATTCTTTGATGGTATATATTGCATTGAGGTTTTAATTTGCATTTCCATGACAAATGAAATTAAGCACTTTTACGTAGGATTTTTGTCTGTCTGTGTATCTTGACCTGTGAAGGAAGTTGCCCTTTTTTCCCCTTGGTTTCTTGATTTCTAGAAATTCTTTTATATTTTGGATATAAGTCCTTTTTATAATATATACAAAGCAAATATCTTCTCAGATTCTGTGCTTTGCCCTTTCACTCTTATAATGGTATTTTGATATTTAATGAAATCTTATCTTTTATAGTAGTTGTGCTTTCTTGTGTCTTTTACATAAATATTTGCCTATCCCAAAGTCATGATACGATAGTCTGTGTTTTCCTCTAATATCTTTATTGTTTTACCTAGGTTATCAAATTAATCTAACATTATCTATTTCTCAGTATATTTTAGTATCAATTTTGTCATAAGTCAGATGACCTTATATTTGTGGGTCCTTTTGTCCATCCTTGAGAAAGTATCAGACCTACTTAACTTCTGTGGCCTTAAAATAAATTTTGCTATCTGGTAGTATAAATCTTCCCACTTTTCTTCAAGACTGCCTTTGATCTACTTAGTGTTCCATAGCACTTTTAAAATTGGCTCCTCAATTTTCATTAAAAAAAAGAACTTGCCGAGATTTTGCTTCAGATTGCATTGAAACTATAGATCAAATTATAGTTCGGAGAATGGATTCACTTATACATTTAGTCTTCCAATCAATGAACTTATTATAGCTTTCATTTATTTAGTTCTTTATTTTCAGTAATGTTACTTAGTTTTCTGTGTAGAGATGTATGCATCTATTAAATGTACTCCTAGGTAAATTGTTGCTTATTGACACTGTTGTTAATGGTATTTTTATTTCATTTTCTGTTACTATATAGAGAAATAATTTATTTCACTATATTGATCATGTTTTCAGAAGTCTTGCTAAATTTTTTAAGCAATGTATAACTTACACAATAGAATTCATCATTTTTAAGGATATTTTATGAGTTTTGACAAGTGTATATAATATAAACATCATCGCAACTGAGATATAGACTATTTCTGTCACCTCAGAAAGTTCCTTTGTGCATGCCCCTTTGAAACAAATTTTTCCTCTCACCCCCAGCCTCTGGCAATCACTGTTCTAATTTTAAATAATTTTGCCCTTTTATAAGTGACTTACAAATAATATAGGCATTGTTGTAGCTTATGTGAGTAGCATGGCTTTTAATGCTGAATAGTGCTCAGTATTGCACCATGAAGTACCACAGTTTGTATATCTGTTCACAGCTGATAAACATTTTTGAGTGGTTTGCAGTCGTTGGCTGTTAATGGATAATGCTTTTATGAGCATTTGTTTTTAGATATATATGTCAACTTAGATTTCTTTTTTGTCTTGGGTAAATACCTAGGAATGGGACTGCTGGGTTTTAAGGAAAGTATTATGTATACATTGATAAGGAAGTGATGAAACACTATACATGGTGGCTGTACTACTTTATGTTCTCACCAACAATGGATGAAATTTCCAGTTTCTCCACATTTTTACTCAAAGTTGGTATTGCCAGTCATTTAAAAAATTTTTATGGGTATGTTTTTAGATTCATGCAGTTGTAAGAAATAATACAGATAGATCCTATGTGCCCTTTCTCCAAATTCCTCCCATGGTAGCATCTTGTGAAACTATAAAACAATATCACAGGCAGCATATTAACATTGATACGATCCACCAATCTTACTCAGATATTCTGAGTTTTGGTTTTATGCTTTTGCATTCGTTTGTGTGTGTGTGTGTGTGCATGCACATGTATTTAGTTCCATCCCATTTTATCACATGTATATGTTCCTCTATCTACCACAATAGTCAAAATACAAAACAGTTCCACACTACAAGAATCCCTCATATTGTCCTTTGGTAACTGCAACTACCTACTGTTTACTCAGCCCTCCATTGCTGACTCCTGGTAATGACTAATCTAGTTGCCATTTTCATAGTTTTTTATTGCAAAGTTGATATATAAACAGTATCATGGAGTACGCAACCTTTTTAGGATTGGCTTTTTTTTTACTCAGCTGAATTCTCTTGACATTTATTCAAGTTGTATCAGTAGTTGTTTTCTTTCTATTGCGAGTAGTATTCCATGGTATGCATGTACCACAGTTTATTTAACTATTCACCCATTAATGGACATGGGGACTGTTTCTAGCTTTGAGCTATTATAAATAAAGTTGCTATCAATACCTTTATGTGGGTTTTGTGTGAACATGAGGGGTCATTTTCCAGGAGCGCAGTTGTTGGGTCACATGGTAATTGCATGCTTAGTTTTATAAGAAACAGCCAAACTTCCCCAAAGTAACTATCATTTTACATTTTCTTCAGCAATGCATGAATGCTTTTATTTCTTCACTTCCTTGCCATAATTTGGTGTTGTCACTTATTTCAGCCATTCTGATAAGTGTGTAGTAGTATCTCATTATGTTTTAATTTCAATTTTCCTAATGATTAATGATGTTAGCTCTCTTCATGTGTCTGTTTGCAATCTGTTTATCCTCTTCAGTGAAATTTTTGTATCATTTGTCCATAAGTCTTTAGTTGAGAGTTTGAATGTTCTAGATACTATTAGTCTTTTGTTAGATAAACGGTTTGCAAAGAGTTTTTCGTAAGTGGGTAGTTTGTCTTCATTTTTTTCATACAGTCTTTTGCATAGCAAAAGTTTTAAATTTTGATGCAGTCAAATTTATCATTTTTTTTATGGATTGTGCTTTCTGTGTCAAATCTAAGAACTCTGCCTGGACCTAGTCTTTAGTTTCTTTTTTTAGTTTTTACATTTTACATTTGTGTCCTTGATCTATTTTGCATTGATTTTTGTACCAGGCATGCGTATTTTGTTTTTGTTTTTCTTTCTTTTGCCTATGAAAGTCTAAATGCTTCAGCACCATTTGTTGAAAAGTTTATCCTGCCTTCACTAATTTATTTTTGCACCTTCGTCAAAAAAAGAGTTGAGCATATTTCTGTGGGTCTGTTTCTAAGTTCTCTATTCTGTTCTTTTGAACTGTGTGTCTCTCCTTCTGCCAATACTACACTGTCTCAATGACAGTAGATATATATATATAGGAAGCCTTAATAGCAGGTAGAGTGATTTTTTTTTTGATGTTTCAGCTATTTTAGAGCCTGTGCCCCTCC